AAGTGTGAATAGGTCTACAATAGGGTGGTCGCTGGTCGCGTTGGACAGGTGGTCGCTATATCCAGTGTCTTTAACGTGTAAATTGTGAAGGGACTGTACTGAGGTGGTCGCTATGAGCAGGTGGCCGCTCTGCACAGGTGGTCGTTAACACAGGTTTGACTGTACTATTTTTGTCAGGACAGTTGTATCAAAAGATTGCAAGTGACACTCACATGTCACTTGTGAGACACTAAAAAAACTTAGTAACCTTTACTCCAAAATTGAAGCGATTTACAATAATTATTTTGTATACACTTTTCAAAACTTACTATTGCATATGTTAACCATAATTTAATTTGACCTTACTGAAGTATGACCAATTAGATGTAAAAAAGAACCTGCAACATCACAGTTGTGATATCAAAAGATTAACATGACAGCAGCAGCAAGGTTTCAATAAATTTCAAACATTTATACATTCCAAATTTGATATTTTCATATCTAGAAATGAACACACAAGGGGGATTGTTGTATTTCAAACCAGAAAGGTGTATTGCTGTCAACTCCCTCTCCCTACATCCATAGAAACAAGGCTGATAACCACTGTATCGATTGAATATTACTGGATTCTGCCGTAAATTAGCCTATTCAAAAAATCTCCCTGGGCGATAGTATTTGGAGTTGAAAAATTTCAAAAAAAAACAAAACATTTTGGGGCTTCTATTTTCATTGAAAAATCCACCTTTGCCGACTTTCAACGCCGGCAGTTGAGTCACCCAAGACGAAAGAAACTATTGCAAAAACTAATTTACAATTTGATACATTTTTTTGGCCAAATTAAAAAGTAAACCGCCTAAATTTCATTACAATTATACCCAGTGTCATGTTTCTCCAGAAAATCACATTATAAACTAACCTGGTATGCCAAATACAATCATTATTTTATTAAATTTTATCAGTAACGTAAGTAAATTCTAAAAGAAGTTTCAAATAAAAATGAACACTGCATTGCTCAGTAGCAATTAATCATGGTAGCGCAATCTGGTCATGCTGCGTTTCACAATTGTTGATTATTACTTACTAGTGATTATAATAACGTACAAAAAATAAATTTGTTGAATTGTTATGAAATGTTATGTTATGAAATTTCAACTTAGTTTCATTGTAAGCGAATGATTCAGGTCGCATATTAAACACTCAAGAACGGTGTTCTTTGACCTGATAGGTCAAACCGCTAAATAAACAATCAAAATGATGGCTGATGCCAACATGCTCAAATTAGCATAGCTAATTTAAATATGTTAATATATTGAACGCAACACGTAAGAGGTTTGCAGATGTTGTAGTACGATCTTTTGACTTGGATTTTGAAGGGATAAACGACATGATTTTTTTTTTAAATCAAAAAATTAGTTGTTTTCAAAGGATGAACTGAGCTTTTGAAGAATAATTTAACATTGTCCTCAGTGATAACAGCTCATTGTCGAAACAAAGAATTCTCATTCAAGTGAGTCACAATAAACATACTCTGGAATAGGTGCTATGACTACGACAAAACTTAAATTTGACTATATTAGGCGTCAGGAAAGGTTGAAAGATACGCAAAATGATGCCAAAATATTTAAAAATAAAACACCTCAAAAAACTGCCGAAAAAATGCGTTGGGCATTTTTCTTAGTCCCATTTAAAAAACAAAAACAAATTGCTGTTTAATGGCCCAGGGTGAACTACAGCAGAATCAGACAAGAAAACACAAAACATCAGAAAAAGAAAAGTGAATTACAGGATTGACAACAAATTCAGAGAAAAAATGATTGTTTTATTGAGATACTCAACATTGCTCCAATAGAATTCCAAATCAGAAATCTCCTGCTAGGAATGTTTTTGAAATCACCAATATTTTGGTTTTGTAATTTATTGCAAAGCCAGAAAGAAAGGATCAGGGTATCAATCAAATCGATATAGTGGTATATCATGGGGAAAACATGTGATTGTTTATAATTAGAATTAATCAACACTACGAACTAGCAAAGCAAACAACCAACACCAAAAATTAGGGAGAATGTTAGAAACAATGTCTGAAGTTAATGATGTGCAAATATTTGACGTTATTTGAAAGCATTTTGTCAACAAGTGTACAACTTATACTATTTTAAATGTATTAGGATTTATCTTGTCATCAATCACAAGATTTACTAAAACTTACAAATATTGAAATCATCTGCAATTATAACTACTCTCTGATTATTAGCAAAAACATTGTGCAAAGTGAACAGGCAGCTAAGAGGATAGAGTTCTTACAGCAATTGACTTGGTGTATTGGTGCAGAGTAGTAAAGAGGCCAAATTGGGGTAGTTTTGAAGTAGTTTTGAGACATATAGGGGTACCAGTGTGGAGTACTGAAGATGTCAGATAGGGGTACCAGTGTGGAGTTCTGAAGAGGTCAGATTGGCGTACCAGTTTGGAGTACTGATGAAGTCAGATAGGGATACCAGTGTGGAGTACTGATGAAGTCAGATAGGGGTACCAGTGTGGAGTACTGAAGAGATCAGATAGGAATAGCAGTGTGGAGTACTGAAGAGGTCAGATAGGGGTACCAGTGTGGAGTACAGACGAGGACAGATAGGGGTACCAGTGTGGAGTACAGAAGTGATCAGATAGGGGTACCAGTGTGGAGTACAGAAGAGATCAGATAGGGGTACCAGTGTGGAGTACAGAAGTGATCAGATAGGGGTACCAGAGTGGAGTACAGAAGAGATCAGATAGGGGTACCAGTGTGGAGTACAGAAGAGATCAGATAGCTGTGCTCTCGCTGTCGCTCGCAAATGTCGTAAATTACGAAATTTGGACAAGATTTACGAACAAAATAAATATCTATTAGTAAGATTTACGAACACATTTTGTACAAAATACCCTCGCAAATCGCCCTCATTTAATTGTCAAGACTCGACTGTGATCATCACGCGTGTTACGGTTCGAAGTGATTGCCATTTTAAAGTTAAACAATGTCCCGTTATCGTTAAAGTCCTATTATAAACCGCGGTTTATATTA